TCAAAAAGTGCCTCATCAGGCATAAACTACCAACCATGGCAACCACAAAATACCTGGCTAACCAAGGGACAGGTTGATCGGAACACGTTGCCCAGACAAGCTGGGGCTGCCCCATCCCTGGAAGTGTTCCAGGCCAGGTTGGACGGGGCTTGGAGCAACCTGGGACAGTGGAAGGTGTCTCTGCCCATGGCAGAGGGTTGGAATGGGATGATCTTTAAGGTCCCTTCCAACCCAAACTATTCTGTGATTTATCCTTATCTGGAGCCTGTGGCTACGAGCAGACACCGGAGTGATCCATCTGTGCCTTGCCAATCACTCCTCTCACTGGGATTGTCCCTTCACAACATTCCTCTGCACAAACTCCAGGACAGACAGATATTCCCAGAGGAGCTGATGTAGCTTTAGCAGAACTTGGATGTCCTCCATTTCTTGAGGAATCCCTAGGAGGTTATTACACATGGAGGCCCTGAGCATGTTTCAGTGCCTCGATTCACATCCAGAAAATGGGCTTTTAGATCAGAACTAATTTTAACATCATAATTCTACCTGCAACACCATTATGTTTCTGTAGTCCAATGACACTGCTTTAAAAGAGGCCAGCAAACAGACAGAGGTGCAGATATTTGTATCTTACCTGCTGTTCTCCACTGCTTTCATAGCATATTCCACCTGAAACACTCTGCCATCTGGAGAAAATGTGGAAGCTGACAGGTCGTACTGGAGGAGAAAACACAATGCTCAGGGAAAAAACCCAAACACATCATATCCCAGTGTTTAAAGATCGAGTCTACTTATTTAAAAATGCAGGGCTGTCACTGACAGAGATGGCTGTGCACTCCCAGGAGCAGGGTGGGACATACAGAGACAGGAGAAAACAGAGCCTAAGAGCCAGGAGAGGCCATTTCATCAGTGCTGGGTGACACTGCAAATCCCATCAATCCAGATGCTGAACGGGTCTGAAATCACTGTGCATTACACAATATATCAGACTTATGGGAACTTTCTGTCCGCCTTCGCATTTCATAGAATCCCAGACTGGCTTGGGTCGGAAGACACCTTAAAGCCCATCTCATTCCACCTCTGCCGTGGGCAGGGACACCTTCCACTATCCCGGGTTGCTCCAAGCTCTGTCCAGCCTGGCCTTGGATACTTCCAGGGATGGGGAAGCCACAGTTTCTCTGGGCAAACCTGTGCCAGGGCCTTACCACCCTCACAGGGAAGAATTTCTTCCGAATATCCAACCTAAATTCAATTTCCAACACCCAACCTCTTCCACTTTCCACCCATCACTCCTTGTGCTCTCACTACAACTCCCGACCAAGAGCCCCTCTCCGGCCTCCCCGCGGGCCCCTGTTTATTTTACAATTCCTGATAGCAGGAACACATTTGAAATGCACAAACGCATATTATGCACAGAAGTATAATAAGTGTTTCATCCCCGCCCCGCCCCCGCCGCCGTTCCCGAGGGCCTCACGGCCGCAGGACTCACCGCCCGCCGCGCCCCGCGGGCGCCCCCTCCCTCCACCCCGCGCGGGCGGCCCCTGGGGCGGCGGGGGCCGGTCCCGGCGGGCAGTGCAGCCCGCGTAGTGCCGGCGATCCCGCGCTCCCGGCGCGATCCCGGCGCACTCCCCGGTGCCGATGGGCTCAGCGGGCGCCGCTCCAGCCCGGCCCGGCTCGCGAGCACCGGCGCAGCAGCCGCGCACGCGCATTGGCGCCCAGCGGCGCCCGCCGGGTGTGACGTCACGCGCCTGCGCTGACAGGGCCTCCCTTGTCGCACTTGCTCCCCAGCACGGCTAGCTCAGTCGGGTAGGCATGACTCTTATCCCAGGAAAGTCGTGGGTTCGGCCCACTGTTGGGCGCCATTATTTTGCCCCTCTCCCGCCGATTCCTTTTCGGAGCGCTCCCGGCGGGAAACCGCCCGCTTCGCGTTGGGTGCAGCAGTTTTGTGCCCCTCACCCGTTTGGAGGCATCCCGGCGGGAAAACACCGCCCCACCATCCCTGAGGGGGATTCACCGCCCGCTCCGCCTTGGGCCCGGCGCTTTTGTGCCCCTCGCTCCTTAGGAGCGCTCCCGGCGGGAAAGTGCTGCCTCACCGCCCTCTCCCACCGTCCCTGAGGGGGATTCACAGCCTGCTCCAGGTTGGGAGCGTTACTTTTGTTCCCCTCGCTCTTTTGGAGCGCTCCCGGCTGGAAAACACCGGCTTGCCACCCTCTCCCACCATCCCTGAGGGGGATTCACCGCCCGCGCTCCGGAGAACCGGGAGGCTCCTGAGGGAATCCCGCGAATACCGCCTGTGGAAGTGATTAATACACTGTTATCCCTGAGAAAATTAGTTTTTGTAAGTGAGCTGGGTGCAGCAGTGACGTTTACGTAGTAAAGTAGGAGCTGGGATAATCTTGGCACTGAACGCTGCATGCCTGCAAAAAATTGCTCTTTTTAATAAATGGTTTTGATGCAGGAATGTAATGCACATAATAAAGCAGGAGCTGTGCTAATCCTGGCACCGGCTACTAAACATTGCATCCCTGAAAAAAAATTGCTTTATTTAATAAACGATCAGGATGCAGGAATCGGAGAAATTAATACGTTAATGAAGTAGGAGCCTTGGGCGCCCTCGAGGGCAGGGAGGAATTACAGAGACACCTGGACAACCTGGAGAGCTGGGAAAGAAACGGCCCAGGGAAATTTAATAAGAGCCAGGGTGGGATCCTCCACCTGGAATGGGGTAACCCTGGTTACACACGAACTGGGGGAGGAGGGGCTAAAAAACAGCCACACGGAAAGGGATCTGGGGTTCTATAGAAGGAATAAATTCTCCCCTGTGAGGGTGGTGAGGCCCTGGCACAGGTTTCCTGGAGAAGCTGGGGCTGCCCCATCCCTGGAAGTGTCCAAGGCCAGGTTGGACGGGGCTTGGAGCAACCTGGGACAGTGGAAGGTGTCCCTGCTCATGGAAGGGGGATTGAAACTGGATGGCCTTTTAGGTCCCTTCCAACACAAACCATTCTGGTACTCTGTGGTTTGGGTTGGTCCAGCACTGGAACAGACTCTGCAGGGAAGTGCTCAGGACACCGAGCCTGTCAGAGCTCGAGGAGCTCTGGATGGTGCTCTCAGCCACACGATTTAGTTTAAGTGGTCCTGCAGGGACCTGGACTTGTGGGGACTTACGGTATTACAATCCTTATGGGGTCCCTTCCAACTTAAGATATTCCCTAATTCTATGAAAAGGGAGAGGAAGGGAACGAGGTAAAGCCCCTTCTCCCAAGGACCAGCTCCCACTGACACAGCACAGACACAGGCAGACATAACAGGCTCGTGAATATTATAAAATATTCTTCCTGTCAGCAGGACTCAGCTGGAGCTGTTTGCAGTTGGCTAGCACCCATCTTATGGAATGGCATCCTGTCCAGAACCAGGAACTGGAAAATCCTCCAGTTACTGCAGAGGTTTGTGTCTGCCACTGTCCTTCAGGATAAATCATGTGTGCTCACTGTGAATTTGCTGTGAGGATCCATGGATCTCTGCCGTGCCAGGGAGGGAAGAACTACAACAGTCAGGCTGTAAAAAAACCAGCCAACCCCCTCTCTACACAATTACACATTTAGGGTGTGATCTCCAAGGGCTTCCCAGGGCAAGCCATTAATAGTCTTTCTCACCCCTTCCATGAACTAAGAATCGTGTTTATGTCCTTAACAGGTCCCAGGACTCTGCACTTCAGCCCAGCAGAAACACAGGAGTCAGGAATTCTGGTCCTGCCAGAAACAGCAGCTGTTGGAGCTGTTCAGTGATGCAGAAACCTCACAGGAGAGGATTTGTGTGGGCAGAATGAAGACAAGGTCGCAGAACACGCCAGGAGAGTTCCAGGGTACATGTGCACAGCAGCACAGGAATATCCTGAAAAAGGCTAAGAATATCCTGAATTTCCTCAGCTGCAGTCTGCTGCAGTTCAGGAAAATGACATCATTGCACCACCACGACCACGGGCTCCACAGGAGTTTCATCCTTCCCTCTGAGAACCTGAGTAATCCCTCCCAGCTCCACAGGGCTTGTGCTGATGGAAAACTCTCCTCTCGGGAGCAAGCCTTGCTAAGCTCTGGCTCAGTTCTTATTGAGGTAAAACATGACCAGGGTCACAGAGGTGCAGCCCAAATTATTCAAATTATAACAGAAAATGAGCAGCAGAGCCTGGGCCTGTGTGTTCTGTATACCTGAGGCTGGCTCTGCATCTGGAACTGGGACAGCGCCCATTTATCCAGCCTGGAATTCCACGAGAACATGGTCCCTAAAAAACCAACCTCATCCCAGGACTATAAAACAACTTCTCACAGCTACACCTGTTTTTCCATGCTTTCTCTGTAACAGCCATGCAGCTCATCTGAAATGGGAAGAAGGCAATTTAAAAACACAGCTTCTGCCAGCACCTCTGGGGAGAAATCATTGGCAGTACTCTGAGACCTCTGTCACCAACCAGCAAAGTCTCACCTAACACAGACTCTAACACTTGAAACAGCAGTTCCTGGGTTTTGAGGCTTTTTTCATTTGAAAACCATTAAATTAAAGGGAGCATCTCCTCCCATGTGCCAACTAACACCATGTGTTAAGGCAAAGCACATATGAAACAGGACAGCAAGTGAGCCAGTGAGTCAACTTTGCCCTCCCACCCCTGTTTACAATTAATTTGCAATAATTTATTACCATTTATAATTCTGAAATCTTTCTTGGAGGAGAGATACCAGAAGAGTTTTCAGCTCAGCATTACATCAGAACTACAGGTACAAGAGTTCTCTGCTAAAACTCTCAAAACAGGATGGTGTCCAGGGGAAATAATGTCCCACCACCTTTCCTCAATAGCCCCAAACCATTTCCTCACAGGTGATTCGAGGGTGGAATATTTTAATGCAGAACTTGGCAGGAAAAAAAACCCTTCCATACATATTTTCCTTCCATGGATATTTCCCCTCCTTCTTCTAAGCATATTTAAAATTAAAATCTCTCACAACAAATTCTCTCAGCAGTGCCATTTACTATACAGATAAATAACAAACAACTCAGGAGGGTACAACTCATGACAGTGCAGAATTTCTTCAGAACGAGACAAAAGAGCACAGGAGTTGCCAGAGTGAAGTTTTTAAACTATAACTGGACATGTTTTTAAATAGTGTTAGTGCCTACACTCCCTGAAAACATCCAGGTTGCTGATATTTAATAGTGTTACACACAAAGTACTTCATAAAAAAAACGAAACCCAGTGCACATGTATCTGAAATGGTGCAGAATCCTTGTGTAACGTGCAGGTGCTTATTTCTCTGTGGAAAAAGCCCTTTTCATCAGTGGTGGGGGTGCTTTTCCAACGTCAAACATCATTTCCAGAGGAGGATTGTTCAGACAGCACCAGTCGGGAATGCGGCCTGTCTGGCTGTAATATTCCTTGGACACGGATCGGCTCCCAAGTATGTCCTGGAGTGCCCCAAAAATGGCTCCTGCATTATTGGGAAGGAAGAAAAAAACTGCAGAAATCTGACATACTGAATTTCACTTTCTAATTCTTCCCATCCGGAATCTCAACTGGTTGGGGTTTTTCAGCTCTGTCCCACAAATTAAAGGCTTTCCTTTTTTCCTTTTCAGTAGCCCAGCTAATCCCAAACTGCTTCCATTTATGTCCCTTGAAAGTAACTGAAAACAAAGAATCATCTACTCTCTGCTGACAGCAAACCTGGCCTGGTTAACCAACTTCTTATGACAAAGCTTCCTAAAAGTTTTTGTTTTAAGCACTTCAACCAAACCCCCTTTGTAAGGGGTTGTTCAAGGCAATTTCAAGGCAATTTCCTCTCCCCAAAAAATTATCCCACAAGTTCACACAAGCTGTGAGAAGGTCCAGCCCGTGGCAGCTGACCAGAGCTGCCAGGGAAAAAAAGCATCAAGAACTTGGTGCCTAGAAACTGTCCTGGTTTGCTAATCCTAAAAATAAGAGGTTTGAAAACTAAAAGTTTATGGTGTTAGTTACTGGCACTTGTGACCAGCACAGGGAGTTGGCAGCCTTTCCATAGCTCCTCCATCAGTGATTAAACTTGATTTTTCCATAAGGAGATTATCTCATGTAGGAATCTCTGCTCTGCCTTGTTAGTATGGAGGTAGCTCTGTCCTGCACCTGAGCCAGTACCTCACCTTTCACCTGTTTCCAACTGCTCCTCACCTGTTTAAAAGCTCCCATAACCCTCAGTGCCCTCCAAATATCCCTGAGGGAGCTTTACTCCACACACTAACAATTCCCCAGAGCTCACTGCAGCTCGATGTCAACGCTTCACCTCACTTGTCCTGCTGTTTATTCATCACAAATCTCACTTGGAAGGTTTGTTTTCACCTTTTCCCCTCAGTTGTTCCCGTTCTTACCTCCCAGCCAGGCCACACAGTTGGGTTTGGCAGGTGGGGTGTGAATCCTGAAGGTTTTGGTGGCCAGTGCTTCCTTGTACTTGGGTTTCTCCACCAGGTACCTGATCTCTGCCATGAGCCTGTGGAGGAATCCCGGGAGCATCGCGGTGCCCCCGATCACCACCAGGTTCTCTGCCAGCTGCTTCCTGGTGTCTATGGGGCACTAATGCAAACAGGGAGGCAAAAAAAAACACCCCCAAAAAAATCATTTTAACTGGAATTGCCTGAAGTGCATTCAGAAGTCTGTTAGACACTCAGTCCATTTCCGTGCCCTCCAATTGCTGTTTTCCCATATTTAAGTGGAACATAATCAACATCAGCCAGAGGGAAATGCCTGGAGGTGCAGAGGTGAGGGGTCCAGGCACAGACCTCCTTAAACAATTTGTTTGCATAAGGAATTCTAATTGAAGTGTTTGTCATGTCAGCCCAAGTCCTTGGTTCTCCAATAAATTATGTCTTAGCAAACTTTATTTAAATGGCATCAATAACTACAGGGAGTCAACTTTAATTAACACACATCCATCACCACATAATGAAAATTTCCATTTATAGTGGTTTTCTAATGCATTTTTTTCCCTAAATATAATAAGAACTGCAGTGTTTGTATATGCCAAGAAAATTTTCTGCAATAAATCCAATATGCTGCCTGTAATAAAGATGTCCAAATTAATTTTATTCCAGCTCAGGTAAACGAGCAGCCTGCAGGACTCAAAGTCTTGAGTCAATTATAACTGCAGGATCTCCAAGGCTGGAGGAATTCCATAAATTGTTTAATACAAAGATACCTGAACGAGGGAATCCAAGATCAAAGTGGCAACAGATGTCTCTTCATTATCCTGTTCAAACAGTATTTCCACCACGGAGTCCCTGTGGAACAGGCAGGAAAGTGAGTGTTAATGACAGGCAAAACCACACTGTGAGTAGCAGAGCTGAGATAACTTCAGACTTCCTGCTGCCAGCACATTGTCACCTCTGTCACACAGCCCATGCACTGGGCAGTGCCAAAGGGGAGGGGACAATCATGGAATCCTTCAGATTGGAAAAGACTCCACCACTGTTCCAACACTTAACCCTTGCAATGAAGACATTTTCCCTCATCTCCAATCTAAACCTGTCCTGGTGCAACTTGAAGCCATCTCCTCTCATCCTGTCACTTATTACTGGGAGAAGAGACCAACCCTCACCTGGCTCCACCCTCCTGTCAGGGAATTGTAGACAGTGAAAAGGTCTCCCCTGAGCTTCCTTTTCTCCAGGCTAAAATTCCTCATTCATGTCTCTAAATCTGTCTCATCATCAGGCATTAACACCCATTTCTCCTCCCCAACCCCTCCAATCTCCTTGCTCTCACCTTCCTCTCCGAGCTCTGGAGAAGCCACCACCTCCCATGCTGGGCCTGGACTGTGCCAGCACAAAGCCTTTATTTAAGAGGCACTAAAAGCATATGCAAGTGTTTCATTAAAACTCAGTTTTATGCAAACTAATGTGCTTTTAGAGTTGAGATATATCCTCATAGTGATCAATGCTCTGTTTATGGCATTTCTCACCTGATGGGGCCAACCACATGGAGAATCTTTTCTCCATCCAAAGGATAGTCCACGTCTGGAGGCGGTGAAGGACGCTGGAAATAAAAACACAAGGGCAATATTTTAGAGGCCGAAAAGGCTCCAGCCACCTCAAAAAGAGTAGGATGAGCTTCATTCTCCACTCACCTCAGCACTGCCATCAATGTTGAACTTGGCTGCCTGGATCTTCAGCCCACGTTGGAGATCACTCACAAAGCAAGTACGGACTGCACAGAGGGAAAGGGCAAAGTGAGGCTGTGTGGGATCCTTTCATCACCAATAAAGACTATTTTTTTTCAATTTAGAAAACAACACACAATTCAGGCCCTTGCTGGTCCAAGCCATTACCAAGCAAACGCAAAGAAAAGCAGCCTCTACACTCCAGCAGGGTTCAGATGGTGTCTGACCGTGAGTTTAAATGAATCTGACACCCAAACCACGCCAGGACTGGCAGGATTTCTTTCTCAGCCAAACCACGTAAGATTTGAAGTCAGAGGGATGTTCCTGATGGTGCCTTCAGCCACCACAAGGTGTCAGGGGTTGTACCCTGCTGTCAAACGCTCCACTGCAGGTCTTGCACCACCACTTCAAATGAGACACTGCTCCTTTCCTGAACAAGCTGCAATCATGGAGTATTTTTCCTGGTGCAACTCCCCAGCACCCTAAGAATTCCAGAGGGTTTTTTTTTCCTCCAGGCAACACTGAAAGAGCACAATCTCATGGGTATCCCAGCTGTAACTGTTATTATATACTTATTTATTTGTATCTGGCACAGATAAGCATCTTCATAAACTGCTGTTCCAAAGAAACAACCCTCCAGTACACAGACAACCCTGATTCCATCCCTAGTGTGTTATATCTGCTTCCAAAAACTGCCTAAAAACCTGGACTGCTCAGAAAACTGTCCTCAAGTCCAGGAATTAGAAAAGCAACTTCCATTTGACAAATTATTTTGCATTTGACCAGTGGATTTCTTCCGAATTTGGTCCAAGATATATATCCTAACTGCTATTTTCTAGGTAAATATATATTTTTATATCTGTTGCACATGAAACATTACACAGGAATTCATGCAAGTTCTGCCCAAAGAAAGACTCTCTTTTTTCTGATATAAATGTAGTCCTTGTCTCATCTTGCCTACCTGATTAACACACCAAAATGTCTTTTATACATACTTTTTTTAAATTAACTTTAAAACAAACTGAGTCTTTCTAGTTAATCTACAAACAAATCTACACAACAGTGCAATCCTCTTCCTGTGCTCATCCACCAAATCCATCTCCAAGTTACATCCCAACAACACACAGGCTGAACTGAAAGAGGAGTTCAACACACAGTTTTGGTTTTGCTTTCAAAGAGTAAAAATGCCACAGGTTCTTCCAGCAGGTAAGAAATATGGCAAACAGAGAAGGGAAATAATGTCCTAAATGTAAAATATTGCAATCTTATTATTATCATACTCTAATGCACAAGTTAATAAACCAGAGTTTCACAAAGCAAAAAAAAAAAAAATCTTACCTTTTATGTCCTCTACTATGTCTTCTGGAACTGAGCCTGAAATGAAAAAAAAAATTAGATTGAAAGATTTTTTTATTTTTAAACAGAAGGAGAATTAAACTAAGTTTGAATTACATTTGATATATTAAATTTTCGCTTTCACAGAATCATAGAATCCCAGAATGGTTTGAGTTGGAAAGCACCTCAAAGATCACCTCATTCCAAGGACACCTTCCACTAGACCAGGTTGCTCCAAGCCCCACCCAGCCTGGCCTGGAACACCTCCAAGGATGGGGCAGCTTTTAAAGATTGCCAAGATTTTAAAGATTTCCAAAGAAGAAAGGATATTAAGAAGTGAAATAAGGTGTTTGTCTTGCCTCAAAACTGATGGAAAAATTACTAATTACTACAGAACTTTATCTCAGCCCTTATCCAAAACTGCTGTTACGAGTGGCTTATCACAAAAATAATATACCTGTCAAATACAAGGAAAGAATTCATCCATGTGGGTGACACAAGAGGCAGTGATTACTAAACTCATTTTATTCACTGTTAGTATCAATCCAGTTTCCCTGGTGCAAGTTCACAGAACATCTGCCACATCCCAGACCTTACCCATCACAGATGGAAGGCTCTGTCCTTTGGCTAATCCTGTATCCACTGTGCACTGCTCCAGCAACTGGTACTCCAGCTCCCTAAAACATTGCACAAAGGTAGTTAAAGACAGCCAAGAACTCAGCCTGGTCCTCTGTACTACCCTTAACAGACAATATTTACCCCTTTCAGTCACATCCTTCTAAACACAAACTCCACAAGATGTAATTTCCACAGCTTTTACCCCAGCAATGAAAGCCAAACAGTGGTAACTCTGAAAACTGGATGATGTTGCAGCAAGTTATGATTTAAAAACAAGAATCTCTGCTCATTAATCAAAGATGAACTTTCACAAATAAATAATTTGTGACCTGGAATGCATAATTGTGAACTTACTTGTGGATGGCCCTTCCTCCCAGGGGCAGGGAACCCCAGCAGCTCAGGATTGGAATTCCTTCATAGATCTACAGGAAGATCAGGAAATTCTCCTTTTTTTCAATTATGAGTTGTCAGTCTGCTGGAACTAAATGCTTTTCCCCTTGCATTAGCTGCTAGAAACACTTTCTGACTGCTTTTCTCCAAAACTAATTTCTAGTTTTATAAAGGCTGAAGTCATGAACCCCCTTCCCCAGGTTTGAGGGAGCACAGATGCCCCACGTCAGCTGTGCAGGGATTCCCCAAGCTGTGACATCCTACAGCCAAAAGCCAGACTGGTTGAGCTGTTCCTATTAGTGAAGTCTATAAAAATCCCATCTGGTCACAACAGCCTCACTGCTGAAAATTCAAGGATACAGGCAGCACCAAGCTTTCTGCATATCCACAGTCCAGCACCATGGCAGAATTGATCCCAAGGGTCAGGAGAGACATCAGGTGACTTGGAGCAAACAAAACAGATGGAACCTACATGGAAACCAAAAGGACAGTTGACAGGATGGGGAAAAAGAAACACTCAACTCATCTTAAGTCTTATATCAGGTTTCTTATTGTCATCGAAAAGACATCACTACACAGCTACTTGGGAAGTTGTATAAACACTTGAAGATGTGAACAAAAATGCTAGGAGACCCTTAAAAGTGTGCCTTCTGATAACACACTGCTGCACACAAGCTCACAGGAGGCTCCTTAAAACATTCTCCACAAAGCAATGTGGAAACTCAGGTTAAAACTGCATGAGAATTACTTCCTTCTCCCAGAATTCCACAAATGAAGTTTCCTAGATAGCAACAATTCCTTCCATGGAACACCTTGAAGTGTGAATTAAATCAGAAATATCAATAAATCCAGCATTTATGGGCAACATTACTGACATTGAGCTCAGAGATGTAAGTTAGAACACTGAGCCTGTATTAATAAACCACTTTTATTCTTTGCACCAAATGGAAATAGAAACCAGAGAGAATTAACCTCCTATCAGTATTATTATATTGACTTCCTCACAAGTTACAAGGTGATTCCATCTAAATATGACTCTGAAGTCATGAGTAATTTTTGCCAAACCATTTTGGATGGGATGTGCTTTATCTGAGACATATTTTACTCCTGTAAGGGAATTTGGAAAAAACCCTCAACCAAATCACTGAAATCTTTCAGCAATTTCAAGTCATCAGAAAACTTTATCAATAGTAAGAAAGAATTATGTAGAAATTTAGCAATAGTTGGTAAACTGTGCTGTGGAAACACAGTGAAGGGGTACTGCAGACAAAGTTTCACTGCTTTTTAAAGAAGAACTTTAACTTTTGTTCTGTCTGAATTGAAGAAGTATGGATGGGTTGGAAGGGACCTTAAAGATCATCCCATGGGCAGGGACACCTTCCACTATCCCAGGTTGCTCCGAGCCCCATCCAACCTGGCCTTGGACACTTCCAGGGATGGAGCATCCACGACTTCTTTTCTTCAACAAATTGTCTTAAAAAACATTCATTAGGCAGAGAAGTTAATTAATTTCAGGTAAGCTCTTATCTAAATGAGCACAGCCAGAGCTCAGGTCATGTGCCAGGCAGTTATTGACTCTGGCAGAAGCCAGGAGACTCGCTGACAGAGCACTAACAAGTGTTTAAATATAAATCCTGGCTCCAGGCAGCGCTCAGTGGGGATTATTGGATCTGTCTGGGACAGTGGGATGGGAGCTCTATTATCCTATGAGCCAGAGAAACCTTTCAGAGTCTTGCTAATTGCTGCTGCTTTGTGGCCTCATGAAGAGCCAGAATGCAACAAAAATGGCCTTTAAACCAACTTCAAAGCTCTGTTTCCTCAGATGTTTCTTCTTTATGCCTCTCTCGCTGTTTTGGCACCATTTTCCTTTCTTGGTCCACATCTGGTACTGACTGTAAGTACAACTTCTCCTGAGAAGTGCTACACTGAGCATGTGGGGCAAATTTACATATTTCTGGACAACATGTACCTCAAAATGCTTGAACAGGACCCTTGTGAGGGTGTCTCTGAAGTGGGAAGGGCACAGGACCGATTCTATGATCACCACGCGACGGTCTCGGGGATTCACCAGCAGGTGCCTAAAAAAGGGCAAGACGTGTAAACCAAAACTGGGAAGTTCAGGCACCTATTATTAGACCCACCTTATATTTATATCCCATTTTCCCCAAAAAAATCCTAAAAATTTGCATTTAGATAGCATTTCCTACAGAAGATCCCAGAGTCGTCTTCACAAATATAAAAACCCTAACGCTTTCCTAGAAAAAAGTTAAGAAAAGTGTGGTATGGAAAACAGAGCTTGTAGTTCTGAATATCCACTATATACTTCTAAATCAATATAAAGAAATGCAAAAATAAGTCGTTACTGGCTTGTTCAGTGCCACACAGCATCATAAAAGACAGAGAATGATGACACAGATTTTCTGATTTCCGTGGAAGAGAAAGGAATTGTCGTGATTTCAATTACAAAGCAATGGCCAAGGACAAGAGAAGAAAAGAAAACCCAACCCACACCAGAAGATCTGAGGCCCAGAAATCAAATATTGGTTTCCCTGTGATGGTTTTTCACTGTGTAAAAATAAGGATTGGAAGCAAAGAGGAAAGACTAAGTCCAACGCTGTTATCCACTAAGCGTCCTAAAAATACAATAAAAAGATGTATTGTTGAGGTAAAAATATTCCACAGATTAAGATTCCTCCTTCCAAACCACTGTGGAGAGCTCTGCACTGGTACAGGATGAGCTCCAGCCTGACCAGAATCAATGCAACTTCCTGGATAATGACTTCCCCTTATCGAGCCCTTCACAAATGGCACAATTAAAGGGCAACTTATCAAATAATTTCTATTTCTAGAGAGCAACTGCTGCTGCAGGACATGAGCTGGCTGTGATACAACCCAAATCTCAGCAGCACTGAACCTCTCCTGCAAGAACAGAGCCGGGCAGCTACTTTTAAAGTCTTGTTTGTGGGGTTTTTTCTCCTTACCCATCAGAGCTCAGTGACCCTGCTCACAGCTCTGCAGGTGCTCAGAGAGGAGGAACTGCCAGCCAGGGATCTCTCACCTGAAATACAGCATGTGGATAAATTCCTTCAGGTAGGAATACAGCTCTTCAGTGTTGATGTTGTACTGAACCACCCTGACAGGCTGGGAAGGGAAGACATCCACAGTCAGTGATTACATGTAAATATACACAGGGTATGTGAAGAAATAGGATATATACAGAATATATTATACCTGAACATATCTAATCTGGCACTATATACACAGAAAAACTCACTCTTTGCTCTTTGTCCTTAAAGCATCTCAGAAACTCACCCTATAACTAAACTCCAGAGTTTATCAATGCTAATTTTGCATTATTATAATTATTTCTCACTATTACTATTACAGGCAATTTGACAGTATTTTCCAAACCTCCACTGTCTACCAAAAGAAAGTACAAAAAGCTTAACTAGGCAAAGCAATTTCTCAGAAAATACCCCAAATTAAATCAGCATTGGCATCACATCACTTGTATCAAGTCACAAGCTTCTAAAGGCAGCAGCTAAAATACTGAAAAATATAATAATATTCCAGAATATTTTATTCAGAGAATGAAAACAGAAGAACAGCTTGTGATGGACAGAAAAAGCACCTGCAAATCCCTTCTATCTCATAACACATCAAACACTATAAAGCAGTTGAGGTAACACATTTCACCTTTGAGACATCAGGTTTCTTTATCTCACTGGGGATGATGCATCTTGGTCCTGTTTCTCCTGCAAAGCCACACCTGAAAGAAAATGAAGAAAACTTTAATATTTGAAGTCACTGTTTAACACACTGGGCCTGGGAACCATCAGAGAGTGATTAATTAGGGCTGTTTCTGGGACTGCAGAGGGGTGTTTTGCACACAGATTTTCTACCTGGCCATTTACAGATGGACTAAAAGATAGAGAAAGATTCTGTATCTTTTTTATTGACTCCCTTAATTTATCCCAACAAGATAAAAACAGCAGCAATCTCCAAACAAACTTTTCAGAAGCCCACCTGCTCTTCCCAAAACACACAAGAACGATGGACTGAAGAAATGAAAATTAAAACCAAAAGAAATTCAATTTATTTTAATAAACTCAGTGCCCGAGATTTGTTTCACCCCTGTCAAACCTCAGAAGAAAACTACAGTAGAAAACCAAAAAGCTGCTGGACTTGGAGCACTTTTAATGCAGAAGGTCAATTAATATTTGATTTTCATAGTTGGCAACTGTCAACGTGTTGGATCATCTCAGAAAAAAAAAAAATTAAAATGGCCACAGTTCAGAATTTAATTATTTTCTTTGGTCTCTCAAAAAATTCCTGTGCAGTCCCAGTGTGCACAGGCAGTTTTCCCTGCCTGTCATCCTGACAATTTTTGAATTTTTGGCTGATTTCAGCCTTATTTAGAAATGGGCAGAGACATCTCTCATACAATTAAGCTGTTATTTCTTTACAAGAATGAAAGCTGAAAACAGGTCCTAAAAAAAGAGAGGAAAAGCTTTCCCATGGGAGCATTTTATTGGATAAATAATGCCCAGGGGATAAACCTCATAAAACCATAAATTTGGGGAAAGCCTCTGATTGGCCACAGGGCACAAATCCACAAAAAGCCACACCTGGAATCACTTGCTTCCATCCTGTTAAATCCTCTCATTCCCAGGTAACAAAGCTGCTGCTGGTCTGCAACTACACTGTCACTTGAAAAAAACCCAAAGAAATACAACTAAATAATAAACCAGTTTTGGACAAGGAACCCTGTCCCCTGTGATTCCAGCCTGTTTTGGCAACCAGGGAACTTCCCAGGGCTTCCAGCAGGGAAACATCCACATGGACACGGCCACGAGCCTTGGAAGAGTGCTCAGAGCTCAAGGGAGAATTATTCTTGTAAGATAATAATAATAATTATCAGCTCACTGACACCCAGAGAGCATTTCCAGATAGTTTTAACCCCAGATATGGTTTAACTTTCCTTAAACAGCCCCTTTGTCCTGAGGGCCCCTTGGACACAAGGGGGGTTTGTAACACAGGGGGGGGTTTGGACACTTGGAGGGCAGAGGCAAAGCTGCACTTTTGGGCCACGAGATGAATTTACTAAATAAACACCTGAGTGTTTCTGCCTCAACTGCAAGCTACACCTTTTTGTAACCTAAAACACCAGATTAAAAAACAAATCTGTTATTTTTGGCTTTGCACCACATTGGTCGACACAGAAAGGGAGTGAAGGGGAAAACCCCACATAACTATTCTTAAAATCCCAGAATGGTTTGAGTTGGAAGGGACCTTAAAAATCATCCCATTCCACCCACCTGCAATGGGCAGGGACACCTTCCACTAGCCCAGGTTGCTCCAAGCCCCGTCCAACCTGGCCTTGGACACTTCCAGGGATGGGGCATCCACAGCTTCTCTGGGTAACCTGTGCCAGGGCCTCACCACCCTCACAGACAAGAATTTCTTCCCAATATCCCATCTAATCCTGCCGTCTGGCAGTGGGAAGCTATTCCCCCCGTCCTGTCACTCTATACCTTGTCCCAAGTCCCCCTCCACGCTCCCGGAGCCCCTTCAGGCACTTGGAAGCGGCTCCGAGCTCTGCCCACACCATTCCCTTCTCCAGGCCGGACACCCCAAATCCCGGCAGCAGCGCGGGGCACTCACTTGGTGAAAGGCCTGTCCCAGCGTCGATCACCACGGCGGGTTTTCTCCCCGCCGCTGCCGAGCCCTCGTAGAGCGGCATCGCGGCCCTTCGCTCCCTCCTCTCCTTCCCTTTTCCTCCTTTCCGCTTCCCTCCTCCCGCTCCTCCTCCTTCCTCCGCCGCGGCTCCGCGGGGCCTTCCTGCTCCGCGGCGGCGCCGGGCTTGCCTCGGCGCCTGCCCGCCGCAGCGCCCGCCGCCGCCAGTGGGAGCCCCGCCGCCCCTCTCGCCCACCCCTGCCGGCTCGAGAGTGGTCCGGACCCGCCGCGTTGGCGGCGGCGGGGGCGGCTGCGGCGGCGAGTCCCCTCAGCTCCGCGCGGCGGCGGAGGGCAGCGGGGCCGCGGAGGGGCCTGGGGGCGGGGGCCGGGGGAGGCGGGGCGGGAGCTCGTGGGCGGGATCCCTGTGGGCGTGAGCGTGGTGCGGGCAGGGCAGGGCCAGAAGTGAGGGCGACCAGCACGATCGCGTGAGGAACGGGGGCGCTGGGGCTGCTTCTCCCGAGGAAATCGTAAAATAACAGGCTCATTTCGGCTGGAAAAGCCCTCCGAGATCACGAAGTCAAGCCGCTCCCCCAGCACTGCCAAGCCCGCCACTAACCCACGTCCCCAAGTGCCACATCCACACGGCTTTTAAAGCCCTCCGGGGATGGTGACTCCAACACTGCCCTGGGCAGCTGTGCCAGGGATGGACAACCCCTTCTGTGAAGAAATTATTCCTAATATCCAATCTAAACCTGCTCTGGCACAACCTGAGGCCATTTCCTCTCATCCTGTCCCTTGTTCCCAGGGAGCAGAGCACGACCCCCACCTGGCTCCGCTCTCCTGTCAGGGAGTTGGAGAGACCAAGAGGGTCCCCCCTGAGCCTCCTTTTCTCCAGGCTGAGCCCCCCCAGCTCCCTCAGCTGCTCCTCATTGCACTTGTGCTCCAGACCTTCCCCAGCTCCATTCCCTTCTTTGGACGTGCTCCAGCCCCTCAATGTCTTGTCTTGAGAGACCCAAAACTGACCCCAGGATTTGAGGTGCAACCTCAGCAGTGCAGCACCGGGGGACAGTCACTGCCCTGGTCCTGCTGCCTCACTATTGCTGACATAGAAAGAGCAACACCATGGGGCGAGAGCTGGTCGAGCTTGTGAGAAATAGAAACCCAGTCGGGCAATTTCCAATCAGAATTTATTATATGATAAGAGCAAATTCAGGGCTGGGTGATCAGGGAAGGGGTTCAACAACTCCCAACGCCTGTCACACCCAAAGAAGACATTTGTTCTACATTTATTTCCAGCTACTACATGAATATTCATTATACATAAGTATAAACATTACACATTGTTAGGTACATGAGTATAAACATTACACATTGTTAGGTACATGAGTATAAACATTACACATTGTTAGGTCAGACATTCCACAGATATTTCTTAACAAGAATGTTATCTAGAAGCATCCATAATATATTGTTAAATCAGACATTCAGCAGATGTTTGCTTGTTATCTATACAAAGTTATAAATTTTAAGAAAGATGCTATTATCTAGCTAACTAAACAAAATTCTCTCACTATAAATCCTACACAAGGTAAAAGGGAGGTAACTTGTTTTATCTCTTTATAGGAGCCCAATTAAGTTTTACGATTTGTTTTTCTTTTCTTTCCAGGTCATATTGACCTTACACTGTTTTCTCTTAATTAGCCCGAATCATTTTCTCAGTTTATCACAAGCTTTAAGCCACAGTGAAGTGCCTGTGATGTAGGGATTTGTTAATTCACATCACACAGCTGATTTATGAGGGGCTGGACATCACCTGTCCACACCATCCAACCCTGCATTAAACCATCTCGTGTCCTCCCAAAGCCCCCACAAAAGCTTAAACCCACCACAGACCCTGCAGCACATCCTCTGTCTGCCACATTTAATGCAATAGTCATTTATACGAGGCTAAATACAGAGGTACCTTCAGGGTACAGCATCCTTCCTCTTGAACAGAAATGAAAAGTCTCAGGAGCAAAAAAGCCCCCTCACTTCACTGCTGAGAGGTGGTGAGTGAAGGAGAGGAGCTCGAAATACAGTGAGGATAGAAATTATAAACTCCACCCTGGCAACCTGTGCAGGGCCAGGAGCTGGACTTGATGATCCTTGTGGATCCCTTTCAGCTCAGGACATTTATGTATCAATGCTTTCAAGACTGAGTCACCTGTGACTGGTGATCAGAGAGGCAGAAGATCAGCTGTGGTGAGAGATTACTGACGGGACATGAGTGCTCTACATCTAATTTTAATCAGTTCAATTTTAGCCATTTTCATGGAAGTGTTTAATTGTAGCAGTACAGCTGGGTTTTGCCCTCATCTGTCTGCACTTTGAAGAAGGGGAATGTTTGGACTTTCAAAATCACAGAGCCACATCACAGGACACATTCTGTAAAGTTTGTGAGAATGCTGTATTATCTCAGATCCTCACAAAATAGCAGGTGTAGAAACCAAAACCCTATTCAGTTTTGGAGCAAAGAAAAAGCTGTGTTTGTACATGCCTACATATTACAACAAAATACTTCGACTTAGGGCTGAGATTTTAACCCCATCAAGGTTAGGAAATATTAAGCTTTTCTAAATAATCTTCAGCTCTGCTACAGGTGGGATCAGTCACCACAAAAAAGTTATTCAAAGTGTCTGAAACAGCCTTGCTCAGGTGGTTGTGACATTTCTGGTCTGTAACAGCCTGTGACGAAAGCACCTTTGCATGAGTTTGTGGGAATGGGTTCTGGAAGTAACTCAGAGTGTGGATGGAGATACAGTTACCTAAAAATAGACTGAAGAGAGGAGAATACATGCCAAAGGGGAGCAAATCCCCCAGGAATTAATAAGCCCCACAGAATAGGGCTTTCTGCATCCAGAAAAGTGGTGGCTGCACCAAGACAAGAGGATTTTCCTTGCACCTGATGAAACAAGGCACCCTTTCACACAACCATGGAATCATTAAGGTTGGAAAAGACCTTTAAGATCATCGAGTCCAACCATCAGCGCAGCACCAGCACCATGTTCACCACTAAACCGTGTTCTCAAGTACCACACCCACACTATTTGAACACTTCCAGGAATTGTGTCTCTACCACTTCCCTCGACAGCCTGTCCCAACTCCTGACCACCCTTCCTCTGAAATGATTTTCCCCAATATCCCATCTAAACCTCCCCTGGCACAATTTGAGGCTATTTCCTCTGGTCCTGTACTTGTTACCTGGGAGAAGAGACTGACTCCATCTCACTCGAATCTCCTTTCAGGTACTAGTAGAGGACAATGAGGTCCCCCCTTAGCCTCCTTTGAGACACCTGGTGAAAACCCACCTAAAAGCCACTGGCACATCAGTACAAGCTGTGTAAGTAGCTGGGATTGTCCTCCCAGCTGTTGCTCCAGCTGGAAAACTGAGAGGGAGTGTGTGTGTTTGAGTGAAGTGGGTGAGAAGTTATCCACTATTAATAATAGCAGCTGGACTCCATTAATAGTAAAAGGTTTAATCAATAAAAGGTGTTCTGATGAATATTGTTCGTGGTTTGTGAGTCCTTTGTGACTTGATGCCCTGGCTGGGAAAGGGGAGTCTCTAACAGATTTTGGTTGGTGTTAACGAAAATTTGGGATCACTTGAGAAAGAGGTTCCTAAGGTAGTGCCTTGCCCTACAACCATCTCCTTTCCCCTACCAATCTTCCCCTTCTCCTTTCCCTGCAATAACCACACCTGTAAACCCAGCTGCTATTCAGGCAGCTGTTGTGCATGTCCAGGAGTGTAACTGAGCCCCTGCTCATGTCCCCAGAATATCTGTCCCCGGGTATTTATATCAGCCAAGTGCACGGGGCCCATTTCTTCCTCAGGGAAGCAAAATGAATATTGAAAAAGCTATTAACTGGTGAGCTGGGTCTAGACATTTGCTCACTGCCAGCCAGGCCAGGCAGAGAGCCCGGGGTTTTGTGCAGAGGAGGACAAGGGATGCTCGTGAAGGAAGAGGACTTCAAGGTGGGCTGTCGTGACACTGATGTGCCCTGTTACCCCTGAACCAAACCTCCCTGAGCTGGGAGCTGCTGTAGCAGCTCGTGGATGCTGTGCTTTCCTCCCTGCAGCAGTGCTGTTTGTCCCACATCCACACTCCCCATTTACGACCCGTGAAGGTGGAGGTGTGTGGGGGAGGTGGATGATGAGTGGGAGTGATGTGAGACACCGAAAGCTGTCGCTGCCACCATCTGCTGTGTCTCCTGAACAAACCTCTGCACCAGCCCGTGGGCTGCATCCACTCTCCTTTCTCTGCTGCTCCTGTCACAGCCTTGTCACCTTCCCCCCTTCTGCTCCCCCTGAAGTCACCTGAGTCACAAAGAGGTAGTGCTGGCAAGAGAAGGTCTCTCTGTGTGTATGTGTGTGTGTGTGTGTGTGTGTGTGTGTGTGGAGCACAAGAGCAGCCTGGGGGAGCTGAAGCAGATGGGGCACCCTGGAAAGGCTCTGTTGACACAGGGTGTGAAGAAGGGGAACTCTGCAGGGAGAGACTCCTCACAAGTCCCTTAAATCCCTCATAAAGCCTTCAGGTCTCTCCTTCAGGCACCATCCCAAGACTCCACATGAGCCCATGCACTCTCCATACAACCCATCACCAGCTTCCCATCCTGTCATCTACTTTTCCTCATAGAGAAAAGCTGAGGAGCAAGGAAAAGGCTGTAGTGGTGATGTGAGATGCAGGAACAGCAACAGGACCAGCCCACAACTCGTGAGCTCCGGAGGAGGAGGGATCATTGCCAAGGCAGCAGCCAACACATGAAAGAATAAACAGACAAAACCCTGTAGCAATTAAACATTCTGACACAGAGCTCGGCTTGCCTTAACGTTTTGTGTGGTTTTATGTCTTTAATGGGTTTTTTAATTGTTTTTTATTGTTAGCATTTTATGCCCTCCCAGAACATGGAAATGCAGCTGAACTTTACAGCATGTGCACACAAGGATGCACGAAAATGTGTTTAAATGTCATTCCCACAACAGAGCCTTAACTCTGCCCTGTTTGAACAATGCCCCAGTGCACCAAGAAAACAGGCTCAGCTGTAATTCCACCTGGCAGA